TAACTCAGTAAGTGATCAAGAACTTCTCTTGAAAGCTTCAGGAGAGCTCAGTGCAAGATGAGCACATGCACACGCTCTGACCCTCTTAGACAGGCACCTTAGCTCGCTCCTCTCTTGCTCTGTCTCCCATCCTCCTTTCTCCCTCTCTCACTTGTGCGTATGCACACACACCCTCCTCACAATGCCATAATGTCTATGTAAATTGGATCTTTAATATCCTTCAGATAAATGGCTTCAGAAAGAACATGGATACAATAGTCTGTCGCTGAGTTAACATGATAGGCTCTGCCTCCCAAATTGGCTCAGAGAAATTAGCAGGAAGGAAGGAAGGATCAGAAGAAATCATAAACCTGCTTACCTGCTCATTAATTTAATCCCCCCCCCCAACGACCCTCTGTTCGCCTGTGGTTTCACTACCCATAAAATAACTAGATAACTTCGAAGTCTTAGATGAAAGAGAAACTAGGTCTGGAAGCTCTAAGATTAAAGGAGAATTTTTAGGATTAGTCCTTAATTTTCTCCTTCTTTCTCTCCCTTTCTCTCCTTCTGTTATTTTTTTCTTTTCATATCAAAAGTGACTGAGGAGGCTTCCCCTTCCATTCTCCTTTCCCCTGAACTGGTCAGCCTCTCCAGAGTACGATAGAGACAGAGTTCGCAGACAGCCGGAAACCAAGGACAGAAGATGCAAGCTGGGACTTCTCTCAAGGAAACTGACTCCTAACACAGACTGAAGACCCTGTTATCCAGGTAAGGTATGGAGGTAGGAACTTTTTCATAATTTGGGGTGGCCATTTTCTTGCAGATTCTTAAGCACCTTTTCTGGGTGGTCCTGGTCCATAAAAGACCTGAAATGAAGTAGGAAAGAGCATGGCCTAACCAAGCTGCACAATTTTAGATTTCAGTGCCATAATAGCTCTTGCCAATCATAGGAGCAAGAATATGAACATCTCCAGCATTGCTTAATGGAACATATTTCAAACAAGTTTCACCTAAGTCATGAAGAACACTTTCCCTAAGCAATCCTGGTATCTCAGGGTCATAAACACCTATCTGAAAGCATTGAGTGACCAGTCTTTACTCATTTCCCTTATGCCAAGTGTTCCTCCGGCATCTTCCCCAAAGCCTAGCTAAAGAAATCAGACAAGGTATACAGGTACTGCACTCAACGGAGAAAGGTGAATAAAACACATTTTAAGGCAGAAGGGACTGGAAATGGTCATCAACAGGCTCTGTTCCATTGATGGGATGGCCAGGGGTACAAGTGGAAGACATATTAGCCAGAGCAGCAGCTTTCGCTGGTCAGGTGGCATTACAAGGTCTCTCTGATCTGACTGAAGCCTTTTCTTACAAGGTCATCAACAAACCTCCCCCACTTCCAGGCTTCTTCAAGACAACAGTAACTTCTCCATCACCAGAGCTCAGGGTGAGTAAAGGCTCAGGCATGTAACAGCATTAACAGAAAAAAATTCCAGAGAGGCAAACCAGAGTCTTTCTGAAGTTTTCCTAGGCATCCAAATACTGATATGTATAAATATTTAAATCCCTACCACAAAGGTATCTTCATGGCTAATGTGCCACAGGCTTTACCTGCTATTCACTTGCAAGCTTATGGGCTTTACATTTGAAAGGAAAATTAGTCTAGGACAGTAGCTCCCAATATTTGTGGTCTTAGGGCTTCCTTACAATATTAAAACTACTGAGGGCCCAAATACCTTGTGCTTCTGTAGGTTTTATCTATCCATACTTACTTACTGTCCTAGAAATTAAAACAGAATTTTGAAATATTAATTAATTTATTTCCATATAACAATGACAAATCCAACACATGTTGCTATAAGAAATACATATTTTTTTAAAATCAAAAAAACCCAAACTTATAACAGTGGTCTTCTTCTACATTTTCACAAATCTCTTTCATTTCTGCCTTAATAGAAAACAGCTGGATTCTTATCGCTGCTTGTAGCCACATTCTGTTGCGACATGTTGTTTTGTTGAAGTACAGGAAGAAAAAATGACTTCATACAGATATGTACTTGGAAAAGGGAGGGGTATCTTAATATCCTTCCAATAATTACAGCCATGCATGGAAATTACATGAAGACTGAACAAATGGCAGTTTCTTAAATGTTAGTTACAGCTTGGAATCAAAAACTATTTTGTATGCCCTTACATGAAAATCCATTGATCAATCTTCCTCTTTAAATGAAATTTTTTGCATCATGAATTAATCATTTGGAAATATACTTTACTGAGTTATGTACTTCTTGGAAATGTTGTCACATTTCATTTGACAATATTGGAAAATCACATTTGCTAATATCACCTCTTATCTCATCAGAAAAGAAATTAGCTACTAGGAAGTTCCCACTATAAGTGCCACTAGAATTCAGACCTCACTGGAGAAGGTGCAGTTGCAGCCCATTTAATGTCAGAGAAATGCTCTAGGTAGCTCTGGACCAACATTGGTCCGTAATCAGTGAGCTTTGGCTAGCAAATTAGGAACTGGAAAACAGGAAATACCTGCAGAGATGCTGATAAGACTTGCAGAGAAGTCATCTTCAGGGATGCTGCTGAACATACTGGTGAGCCAGCTGGGGAACCTATGGAACTCACCAGAAAGCTGTCTTCTGGGCTGCTACTCCCAGAGAAGTGCTACATGAAGCAAGGGAGCCCCCCGGGAAACCTCCCCTTGAAGATGCCAAGAGAAGCCACATAAGGAGAATTTTTAGGCTGCTGGGGATGAGCCATCATCATCACATTATATACAAGCTGTTGGAGATTAACTTTATAATTTAGAATTAAGAGATTAATGAGTGGTACTATGGCTAAATTTGAGAAGATGTTAATATAGCCAGTAATGGCTATAATGCATCCTCACTCTAATGAGTACACCTCATTGTTTGGGAAAAGGGATTATAGCTTCACTTGTTCAAACATAGCTGTAACTTCCTAGGTGGGAACAGAGTTGTTTCAGTGTTGCATAGAAGTTCGATCCTGTGCAGATGTTGAGTAAGCAAAGGGGTGGACTATGCCAGTCATCAGACGATCCTTGTTCAACTCCATGTCCACTTTCATTCTTGCTTGTGATCTTGGAACACTTACTTCTCCCTTGTCAGGTGGAAGTTTTCTTAGGAGATATTACTGAAAATAGGCTGGAAGAGGAAAATGCTTTTCTTTCTGATTCCAGAGGTCTCACTTTGCTCCTCTGTTGTATGTCAACCAGCAGCACATGGGACACTGACTGATACATTCATACTGGTTCTGAAATATCACCATTATTTGCTCCATGGGTAGCTCAGAAAGTGCCCCCCCTCCAAGAAGTTTCACCCACTAGTATAGCACCTCCTTGGAGGCAGCTCCCAGAACCACCAAGAGGATCTTGTTGGGGGAGCTCTTTGGGTACCACAAACGGCTTTCCAAAACTTCCAACATTCCCCTCCCCCAACAGCTTCTGACAGCTCTGTTGACACTGCATGAGCAGTTTCCTGAATTGGTATTGGCCCACTGACTGTGGCTGGGCTGTGACCCAAGGCAACTTCTCCATCATACAGTGACATCCACTGTAACAAATCTGATCCCACCCTTAAGGAGGGTGTCCCTCCCAAGAGCCTTTCTGCTTTGGGTACTCTCCCTTAGTCGTAGGGTGTTTTTTATTCTTTTAATAGTTTGTTCTTTTTAAATGTTTTTATTAGTACATTTTCTATACATAATATTTACATTCCTGTGTGGACTTGGTGCAGGTACACACACATCTTAATTCCTTTTATTCATTCTCTTCCCTTTTTCTCCCCGCCATCCATCTCTTGATCCCCCTCCCATTTGAGAAACATCCATCATTCTTTACATTAAATATTTCCTATTCAAATTTCTAGGTGGTTTCCTTCTCCTAACTAGACCATGACTGATACAGAATGTGTACAAATTTTCCCCAAGGCCAGCATGCTTAAAAATGTGAATCTTATCAATGGCAACAAATGTGACTGATTGTTTACCAGTCTCACTCTGTTCATCTACCAAAAAAAAAATGTTTTCCAAATACTCAAGACTGGGCAGTCATACTTTGTCTACCAGCTACTTCTTTCAAGTAAAATGTGTTGGATGAAGAAAGTGGCTAGTTCAAGTTACAAGTCAAACATTCACATGTGCATCTTTTCTCAACCCTTGAGAGCTGCTGGCCTTAAGATAAAGAAGATATGTCTTGGCATTAACAGAGCTTAGTCTGAAACTTCACTCTGCCAGTCTTTAGATAGATGACACTGGGAAATTTATTTACCTTCTCTATTCTTAGGTTTTCCCATATACAAAAATGGATTGTTAGATCACCCTCCTCACAAGGATATGCAAGAATTAGATGAGGTATGGTATGAGTATATAACATGTGGTAAGGTCTCAGTAAAGGGAGATTATCATGGAGTGGAGACAAAAGAATAGATAGGAGAAGGGATGTAATGTCCTTATCACCTCACAGTGGGGATGAAAGAAAACTATTATGGCAAAAGATAAGTACTGATCTATGGTGGGTAAACCTGGGGCCTTGAGTTCTTCCACCCTGTCCCCAAAGATTCTTAGAGGAAAAGTTGCCATAAGGGTGAAAAAGGTACATTCTCAGGGCAGCCTGGTAAGCCACTCACCGACTTCTGACTCCTCTTTAGAAGGTAATCACAGAAGGACACATATTCATTCAGAGGGTTTCCCTACACCCCTCAATAGAGGCAACCATCAAGTGGGAGAGGAGATGGCTGAGACATGGTACTGATAATCCTGAGACTTCTAACTAACGATTTTGTCACTAAGGTGCCAGCTGGTGTTGGGGCAACAGGTTGGTTACATTAAAGTTTCCCCTCTTTTGCTCTTTGGTGTTTCTCCCAGAAATCTCTTACAGAACTTGAGGGAGAAAAATCCACACCATAAGATGTCACAGTTCATTTTCCATTGCTGTCACAAAATACCCAAGACTGAGTAATTTACAAAGAATAAGAGTTTATTTGACGTATGTTTCTGAAGGCTAGGAACTCCAAGAGTATGGCTCCAGCATCTGTCCTTGCATCTGGTGAGGCTTCTTGCAACATCATAACATGGCAGAGGGCATCTCATGGAAAGACAAAGCAAGGAGGCTACCTCAGTTCTCTCTTCTTATAAAGTCACTAATGCCACCCTCATGGCTTTAATCCTACTTTCCAAAGACCCCACCTCCATATACTATTAACATATAATTCTGGGGATTAAGCTCCTAACACTGAACTTTCAGAGAAAACATTCAAACCATAGCACAAAGGCAAAGGCTCAGGAGTTGCTTCAGCTTTCATCTGTGCTCAGCGCCTAGTTTTTAATACTAACCTATTTCTACTTGGCAAACTAACCCCCAATTATCCATGGTGCTTCCAGCTCCTATACTGTGCATTTCCTAGTTCCTTCTTTCCAAGAACATGGGCACTCTATGACAGTAAATGTTCTTGTTGTCAACCAGCCTCCCCAAATAAACACAACATTTAATGAGAACTTTCTTCATTGCAAGAATTAAGCAATGAAGGACAGCCTGATAAGCCACATATAGATATGTACATTTTATTTCATCCTCAAAACCACCATATCAGGTAAATACAATTTGAGCCCATTTTAAAGATAGAGAAATAGAGTCTTGGGAAGAATAAGTAATGTATTAAATTTGAATGACCAGTAAATGTCAAATTATTTGACTATCTGATCCCTGAACTCATGCTGGTGCCTCCTGCCTCTCCCGCCTTGATACAAGTGAATTTTCATGGGTGGTAAATAAATTCCCTCCACCTTGAATTTTGTTTTGGGTCACAAATCTTCTTTGCCAATTTGTCTTGTTTCCATATCCTACCAAAGTGAAATGGTTCCTTTTAAGACCCAAGGTTCCTTATAAAGGAGAGCTTTCCAAACATTCCTCAAATCAATTCCTGCTCCAAATGTTTCTTGAGTTCTTTTTTCCTTCCCATTGACTTTCTTAATTTCAACTCTCTCTCTCTTGCAAGCATCTTACACTGCCTTTGTAAACATACATCCTTCACTCACTTAAATGTCCTCAGCGTCTCCCCATGTGCCACTGGGTAGAGACAAAATTCCCCAGCACGATGTTCAAAGTATTTCATTATCTACCTCCACCTGATCCCTCCTAGTTCATTTCTTTCTTTCTCTCTCTCTCTCTCTGTCTCTCTCTCTCTCTGTCTCTCTCTCTCTGTCTCTCTCTCTCTCTCTCTGTCTCTCTCTCTCTCTCTCTCTCTCTCTTTCTCTCTCTCTCTCCCCCCTCTGGAACAGACTGTGTCATATTTCTCTTTGTGTCCCTGATGCCTAGCACCATTCCTGTCACATAGAAGCTGTCCAGAACATGTGACTAAAGACATGAATGATGGACAGGGCCACAGATGATTGTCAGTAGCGCTTCCCTTCCCTTGGTCTCTTTGAATCCTGCCTAATGAACATTTCCCAAATGTTAGCTTCTCAAAATTTTGGATTTACTTTATCATCGTTCTAAGCACTCTATTTCTAGATCTTAATAGCTAGGGCCTGACAGTCATTTTCATCCCTTAACCTTTCCTAGGGAGTGGGTAGAAGCAGCCCATGTTCCCAGGATGAGCTTTCTGTGGGCTCTTCCCCAGGGGTCACATTCCCTTGTCTCTGGAAATCTTTCAGTCCTCCTATGCATGGCTTGGAAGAGGTAAATTCTCTGCCACTGACTTCTCCATGGAAAATCTGTCTCCCTGCTAGGAGACCCCAAACCTCCCTCCCCACAGACAAACTCCTTTCTGAGCTATCATTTCTCTGAACACAGCTTTAACAGAGTGAAAAATCACAACTTAATCCCACTTCAATCTCTCTAGCTGCAACCAGGCTGGGAGTCCTCCCAGATCCATTTAGATATTTTGCCTTGGGTTGCATGGAGGGAAGAGACAGAGGGGTGTTGCTGCAATGCAGGGTCACGTCAAAGCAGCAGAGTGGCAGAGAAAAGAAAAAATGCTACTTGTGAGCATCACAATGTCTCTTCAGAGACATTAGGGCAAGTATCTTACTCGACGCAACATGGAAGAGGATTCCAACATGGATGGTTTTGTGATCATCAGCAAGTTTGTGTTGATCGGAAGCCCAGGCCAGTACTAGCCCAGGGGATAACAAGCTGCATAGCAAAGATCTAAAAGGGACTTCTTATCCAAGGACCATACTCTCTCAAGTGAAGAGTCACACAAGGCATGAGGCAGTGAATAACACAATGGGCATTTTTCCAGGAAAGGGAAGACCACTGTGAGTCTTGGACTGCACTTGAGCTGGGGTGTTCCCGCAAGGGAGGGGCATGCACTGAAGAAGCCTACATGCAGCAGAGACATCTATCCTGCCTGAGCCTTAAGTGTGTTCACCTTGCAGAAGAGTAAGTGGCAAATGATCACAGCTTTCTAATTCTCTTCTGATGAACAATCTTATCCTAACTACCCCACATGCAGGCTTAGCATCCTCTGCACACAGCCCTCTTGGATATCACCAGCAGTCACCATGAGTTCCAGCCTGGGATTCAGCGTATTTACAATCCTTCAACCCACAGTAACAAGGACAGAAAAGAAAGGGAGAATGTGGAAGTGATCTCCAGGCAGCAATAAAAGCAGGCGTGAAGGTGCATTGAGAAGTGAAAGAGTAGATAAAACAGATCACTGCTTCTTTTACACTCCACATACTAGTACATTTGCCAGCCAAAACATTGTAACTGTTTATTTTATGTCATGTTTGCCATCCCCTTTAAACACAGTCCTTTGAGAGTTAGGAGCATTTTGTTTTTCCTTTTATTCCCCAATATCAATATCAATAAAACATATATTGAGTAAATAAGTGAAGGAATAAGGAAGCAGATGAATAATTGATAATCCTAGGGGAAAAGGTGATACCACTGTAAGAAATGGAACATCAGAAAGGAGAGGTACAGAGCAGTGTAACAAGAAAGCTATAAAAAGGAGAGGGCGTTCATTTCAGTCTTAGAAGGAACTTTAGGGAGGCTGAGAGCATCTACAGATGAAATCTACATCATCAGCTGGTAATGACGGTGACAATAAAGATAGCTACTATTTAATTTACATTGTGTGCATCTCACGCAACCTCACCACAACTGGGTGACAAAGGAACACTGACCATCTTCATTTCACAGGAGAAAAATTACCAAGTTTCCAAGGAGAAACAAGCCTTAGAACCAGGCTGACATGATTCTAGAACTTCACTGCACTGACTGCCTCTTGAGCAGCCATCTTCTTGGCCACATGGGTGGGTATCTGGTGAGCTCCAAGCTCTCAGCTCCTATCTCCTCCACTGATGTTGTTAAAAAGCCTCTTCTCTCAGACTTCCTCTTCCTCTCAGGAAACCGGACTGTCTCCCATGGAGAGAACTCAATGAGAGGCATTTTCTTGACATGAGGATGATGGTTTCCTGACCCATCTCAGGGAAAATGGGGTGGAGCAGTGGGTGGATGGTTTGTTTCAGGCAGGTGCAGACCTTCATGGCCCTGGAGCTTGCTCTTCTGACATTTCTTCTCCTATTCTTTGTATATCTTTTCAATACAGGCAAGGTCTGGCCCTTGCCTAGGTCCCAAGAGATTATCTACAGTGTACACAACCAACTCCAATCAGAACTAGACACCATAGCTCCTGTGAGCAACTGTGGTTGGAAATGCCCTATGCCACCCACTGCCTCTGAAAGAATTAAGTGCTGTCTGCATGATTCCATTGAGAGGGGACATCTGCAAACCTGTGCCTGCAGCTCTCCTGTCCTCTGGCAATGCACCTTTCCACTGCTGATCTTCATCTGTATCTTTGTGTTGTAATGAATTGGAACTGTGAATTCTATAGTGTTGTGTTCCACAAGTTCTGGTGAACTGTTACACCTGAGAGTCTTCGGGACCCCTGAACAGCAGATCTCCTGGCCCTTGTTGCTTCTGCCTGCTCTCTCTTGCAACCTTTTCCTTTAGATCTAGGCCTGGTTTTCTACATGTTCCCTTGCACCTGTCCTGTTGTATCTCTTTGCCTCGAAGTTTGCAATGCCCAAGGATGGCAAGGCAGCCTCTAGAAATCAGCTCTAGCTATTCCTTTCGCCAGTCCTGGCTCCTACCTCAGACCATGATCCTTATTTCTATTCCCTCTCCAGGGAAGGGAGTCAGAGAGTAATCCCCCAAAGCAGAACAACTGCTTGGTAGAAGTGACATAGAGACAATGGAAGGAAGGGGGCAAGAGATCAACCAGGTGACCTTTAAACTTCTTTTAAACCCTAAAGTGCTGGTGCCTAGATGCATCCATTTGATTTGGATGCTTTGAGTTTGAAACAGTAGCAGGACTTCCAGGTGGAAATTCTCTCTGGAATACCCACAAAGGGAACTGGTAGACGGTGTAGAACGTTCTCAGGTCTGGGCCTTGCTTGAGAGGCAAGAGTCAAGAGCAGGTAGCTCAGAATGCATGCAGAGACTGGGGAGTCCAGGAATTTTTCATAACACACTTCTGATTTGCCAGGACTTGCTGAGGGAAGGCTCCCCTTTCCTCCCTGCTAACATTCCTTCCCCACCTGGCACAAAGAGGGCCTAGCCTCCAAGTCACAATTATGAAAGCTATGCGAGGATGCTAATTGCTGTATCTGACCTCCCTTCAGATAACAAGGGAATCGCTCTCCCTAATTAGCCCTGCCGCCAGTAGACCAGCAAAGCCAAATGTTTATTATGGGATGAATGCACTTACTGTAAATTTTGACATATGCTGTGGAAAGATGTTGGATAAATAAGACTTCAGAGGCATGGGTTGTTTAAATAATGAATACCCACTGCTGTGGGTGATAAGAGTGGAGGAGAATGAGGCAAACAAGAAGCAAAAGATCCTACAATAGTGCTCAGGGCCTAACGGACTGGGCAGTCAGGAGGGAGGTGATTTGGCGGTACTGACAGGAAGTCTAGAGGAAAGGAAAGACAGTGGGCTTGTGCATCCTTGCCTGGCCTGCTGGGGCCTCAGTGCTCCTGATTCCATGTAGAAATGCACACCGGTCCCCATCCCTGCTCTTTCCCCATTCCCCGTCCTTGGGAAATGGTGACTAATGTATGCAACCCAAAGT